GTCCGGTACTGAGCTGTGAAGGTGGCGCCTTGTTGTAGGTACATCGAAGACGAAGCTGGAGCTATGACGCCACAGGTCTCCCTGGCCTCCGCCAACCATCGCTCTCCCTCTCTCTCCAACGCTACTCTAGCTCCTACTAGCGCCCAGCACTGAAGACTACTGCTAACGCTACTACTACTCCTGCAGCGCTCCTCCAGAGTGCTGCTGCCGGATCCTGAAGACTACCTCCTGCCTCCTGCACGTGAAATGCCTGGGAAGTTCCTATGAACTGCCTCCTGACTGCCTGCAGCCTGTAGGGCGGGCCAGCCTTACATAGTGCTGGCCCGTCCAGGAGGCTGCTTTTGCCAATGCCAAAACGTGCCAGACCCTGGCGTTGAAGTACAAACAAAGGTTGTCTTGAAAACAGGCCCAAAATGGCCTGTGCTAAAACCCTGGTCTGGTGCCTAAGTTTCAGGGCAGGTCGATCTTATGAGGGCCTGAAAATGGCCCTCCGTTTCAGGCTGAAAAGACTCAGGGCCTGTAGGCCCTTGTTTGCAGGCTTTCAGGCTGAAATGACACAGGGCCTGTAGGCCCTCGTTTTCAGGCTTTTAGGCTGAAACGAAAACAGGCCCTGCACGTACGGACCCTTAGTCTCCCTGGTCGGGCCCTGCTGGGCCCGTGTGGTACTGAGTATGCCACACTACCCACTCCTTGAAAGACCGAGCTTACCTGCAAGGGCGAAGCTGTCTGTTGGAGGGAGGGACTGAAGTCCGGGTGGGAGGCTGTGCAGCTTCCGTGGCTAGCCGTTTTTTCTCATAATCAGCGTAGATATCTGGTGCGGAGGCTTCCAAAGCTGCCCAGGAAATGCATCGCGTGTCGTCGCGGTTGCACCACTTGAATGTGACTTTGTACTGCATTGGCTTGTTGCCGTGCTTGCCATGCGTGATGATGTGGTCGACTTCCTGATGACCATCTATGGAAGGAGGGTCATGCGATCGTCGGCCCAGGAAGTCGTCGCTCTTGGCTGGTGTATATGTGGCCAGCTTGGAGGCGTGGAAAACCGGGTGCACCGTGAGATGCGGCGGGATTTCAATCACAAAGGAGGGGCCATCGGGCTCATTGCCCGCGGCTGATGTGACGGGCCATGGTCCAAACCACTTTGGAAGTAGCTTGCGGGACACAATCTTGTTCAAGCGCAAACTGCTCCATGGAGACCCTAACAAGGTCGCCGGCACGGATAGGGCATGGCATGCGACGCCTGTTAGCTTGCTGTTGCATGCAGACTGGAGCCTTTTGCATGTTGGTGCTGGCTTTAGCCAGCAGGTCCCTATACTTCCGAACGGAGGCGGGAGAACAAGCGGTGTCAATGTCGGCAGTCCTTGGAAATGGAAGATCAGCGAAGATACGGCCTTTCCTGCCACCGTGGTGCAACTCGAATGGAGTCACGCCGATCGCCGAGTGCAACGAAGTGTTGTAGGCGAATTCGATGTCGGGGAGGCGGTCCACCAAATCCTTCTGATCCGTACGGATGAGTGTGCGAAGCATTACTTGAGCGGTTTGATGTGCCCGCTCCGTCTGCCCGTCTGTTTGCGGATGCCAAGCCGAACTTGGTTTCATCTCGGTGCCGGACTCTTTCATGAGGGAGGTCCAAAATGCCGACATAAAACGAGTGTCGCGGTCGCTGACGATGTCTTCCGGAACGCCGTGACCACAAATCCAGCCGGTGTGTAAGAGGCGCGCAAGTTCAGGAGTCGTGGCGTAGTACTTGCAAGGAAGAAATTGTGGGTACTTGCTCAATCGGCCAACGACCGTGAGAATGTCGTCGTGCCCGAAGCGGTCATGGGGGAACGGGCCGGTGACGTCCATAGCAATGGAGAGGCCGGGTTCCCGCGGAATAGGCAATGGGCGTAACTCGCCGGAGGGGTTGCGATTGCGGGGTTTGCTTCGTCGGCAAACTTCGCAAGAGTCGCAATACCGAGTGAAGTCGGTAATGAGGTCGGGCCACCGGAATCGTTGTCGAACTCTTGCGATCGTACGGTTGACTCCGAAGTGGCCGGCGAGTCTCGAGTCGTGGTACTCGCCGAGGAGGCGAGGCCGTAAGTGACGGTCATGTGGGACGCATAGTAAGTCCTTGCCTCGTGAGTGAAGAAGCAAGTAGCCATCGACGATGCGATAGTGGCTGGTCGGCGGGTGATCCGAGGATAGTTGCTCGTAGAGCGTGACATATTCTGGATTGGACTTGTATGCTCTCACAAAATGCTGATGAAGGGTGTCGTTGAAACTGAACGCATGGTGAGTCAATGCACAAAGATCTGATCTTCGCGAGAGAGCACCCGCGACTCGGTTGGAGAGGCCCGAAATGTGTTTCGGTATGAAGTCGAATTGATCGATGCAATACATCCATCGAGCAATCGTGCTGCTCACCGTGTCTTGCGTCTTGTAGTAGGTCAATGGGTTATTATCCGTCGCCCAAGTGAACCTACGACGCCCGAGGAGGAAGTGTCGCCAACGCTTGAGTACCGTGACGAACGCAAGCAACTCCTTCTTCCGCGCATCATCAACCGAGTTGATGGGAGGCACCTTTTGGCTGAAGTACTCAACTGGATGCCAGTCTACTCCGTCGTGTTGTTCCAAAACTGCAGCCATGTCGTAGCCGGAAGCATCCGTAGTCACTCTCGTAGGCAAGGTGGGATCGTAGATACTCAATACGGGAGCGAGGAGCAACGCCGTCTTCAATTTGTGGAACGAACTGCGGACTTCGTCGGTGAACTGGAAGGGCACCTTTGGAGACTGCAATCTTGACAAGGGCGCGGTGATCCGTGCGTATCCTCCGATGAAGCGTTGGTAGTACCCGACCAATCCCATAAAAGATCGGTCTTCCGTGGTGTTGGTTGGTTCCGGCCAATCTTGAATGGCCTTGATCTTGTCCACGAGCGGACGGATGCCTTGCGGCGTCACAAAGTGGCCCAAGTACTCGAGCTCTTGCTGCGCGAATTCGCACTTGGCTCGGTTGGCCTTGTACTTGGTTGTACGTAGCCTATCCAAAACAGCGCGTAGATGCACGGTGTGCTCGTCCAAATTCCAGCTATATACCAAGATGTCATCGAGGTAGATGAGCACGAACCGGTCCAACATGTCGCGAAACTCTGTTGTCATTGCCGCTTGGAAGGTGGCTGGGGCATTCGTGAGGCCGAATGGCATTACGACCCACTCGAAGTGCCCGTACCATGTCTTGAACGCGGTTTTGTGTCGATCTCTTGGATGGATCTCGAGCTGGTGGTAACCGACCTTGAGGTTCAACTTGGAGAAATACTTGGCACCGCCCAAGCGTTCGAGAATCGTCGATGTGTGGGAGCGGGCCGACATTCTTAATTGTTTGAGCATTAAGCTTATGATAGTCAATGCATAAGCGCAGCTCCTTGTTCTTCTTCCGAACGAAGAGAACGGGTGCACCGTAGGGCGAGCAACTAGGGCGAATCCAGCCCTTGTCAATGAGGTCATCGAGTTGCGTTCGAAGCACTTCGAGTTCCTCCCTGGTCATGCGGTAAATACATCCGCGCGGAGGTATGGCCCCGTCTTCGAGGATGATCTCGTGACGAATTGGCCGATTCGGTACGATTCCGGCAAGGGCTTCAAAGACGTCGCCATAGGAGTCAAGAAGTTGTACAATGCGTGGATCCGGTGGCTGTTCCGCCGCTGGCTCGTCGGGAGGAGGGAGGGCGTGCAAGAAACAAATGCCCATTTCCTCCACGTTGTTCCGTGCGATGGAGTTGCGAATGCTTGTCGTGGAGACCATGTGACAACCAATCGAAGGGTGAGGTGGGGGGACTGTACATGGCACAAGTACCCCGTTCTGGTCACGAACGTGAACGGTGCGGCGGTAGAAGTTCACCGGTGGCCTCGCTATGCAGCCACGACATGCCCAAAATCATGTCAAAGTGTGTGTCCAATATGTCAAAGGACACGGCCTTGCGTGCATGCGGGGCGAAGTACACGGGGACAGAGTCAACGCACCGGTTAATTGACTTGTGCATACGACCGTCAGCCAACGTGACTTGCGTGGGCTGCGATTTCCTTCGAACGCGCGGCCAAAGTCCGGCGCGCGTCATGAAGTCCTGGCTGATGTACTTGCAAGTAGCTCCACAATCAATCAAGGCACTGCAGGTTGCCTTCCCGATCTGAATGCGGACGTAGAGTAACAGTGCGTCGCTGTTGTCGTACCGTTGCGTGGCGTACTCGCTGTCAATCTTCGCAATGTACTCGCGAAGGTCAACAATCGCGACTCCGTCTTCCATCAATGGAGCTGGTACTGCAGCGTGCAAGTAGTTGCGTAGTTCCGCCATTGGGGCGTTGCAATGCGGCTTCGGCAAGGAACCAGATGGGGGAAGAGGCAACCATTGGAAGTCCTGCGGTGTCAATGGGTCGAGGTCCTCAAGTCCAGACCACACCGACGAGTCCCCGAGTAATGTCGGCGAGGATTCTGGTTCACTTGGCGATGGTGCTGAAGTCGCGCACGCATATGACTCTTGCATGTGGAGAGGTTGGTCCAACGGCGGGACCAGCTGGACAGCATAGTCTTCATAACCTTCGTGAAGACTGGCGACATACGCATGTTCCCCGGACGTGGAGGAGGTTGTTAGCAAGGCAACCGTGTCTGGCAGAGTAGGAAGTGGAGTCGCCTCACTTCCCGCGGAGCTTAGTTTCCCGAGCTTTGTCGTGGACGAACATCTTCTTTGCCTTTGTCAGGGCAGTGCGACGTCGTGTGCTTGGTGCTGTTGCACCAGTAGCAACAGTTCCACCTCTGGCGGAGCTTGTACTGCTCCTCCGTGAGGCTGAACTTCTCCGACGGCTCGTTCGGTTGTCTGGCTTCAGTTGTTGACACAGATTTCGCTTTTTCTTCTTGTTGTTGCGTCGTGGCGGAAGGGTGTTGACTCCGTCTCCTTCACTAGACTCGTGAGTCAACAACGCCTGGTCGTCCTCTTGTCCATTGGATTGGACACCAACGACTTGCTGCGGCCGCGGGCCTTTGCCCTTTTCCATAAAAATTGGTTGGCTTCGCCGCTCGTTGGCGGCCCAGCGATTTGTTTGGATGACTTCGCGCGCCTTATCCACGATCTGGTCAAAGTGTGTGTACAGGCTGCGCTCCCCAAGGGCCGTGCTCAACTCATCAACCGACCATTGGAAGAATTCGCGACGAAGATGGATGAACGGTATGTCCAGATTCGGAATCGTCACGAGTTTCTGCCATTCGGTTAGCCATTCACGTGTTAGCTGGCTGCCTTGGTGCATGCTGAAGATCCGGTTCACGCCTCTGCCTTGAGCGTCGACGATGAAGCGTTTCCGCCACTTCTCGGTCATGGCCTCCCAAGTGATCTTGGTGTAAAGCTTAGCGACATCGACGCATTCGGTTTCAGCCAGGTGGTTGAGCCACACTTGGCTGGCACCAGTGCTGCAGAGGTAAAGCGCTGAGATCTTCGACTCTGGCGGGACCAAGTGGATGGAGAGCTCGTTGGTGAACCCTTGCCACCAACTTATGGGGTCCGCCTTGTGGTAGTCATCAAATATGTCGATGCTGAACTTCGGCATCTTGTATTGTTTAGACGTCAGGTTGTTGCAGGTCCCGGTTGGTTGCTGCTGCAGCTGACGCAGATCCGCTTGTAGGGCGGCTATTTGCTGGCTGATGGTCGCAGGTTGTCGGAAACTGTTCAAATTTCTGACGAGCGCTACTAGGTGATCCATTCGTTCAATCATCAATGCTTGACGATGCCATGTATTGACGATGCCATGTGCCTGTGCGGCACATCATCCTTCTCCAACACGTCAAGGCGGGCATGGAGGCTCTCGAGAGTCTCCTCATACTCAGCAATGGTATGTGTCTGTCGAGCCAGCTAGTTGCCAATTACAAGTGAGGATGACTTGAAGCATCCTGTTGGCGAGGGCTGACTTGGTCTGCTCCTCCGCAGTTGGTTCCATCGTCTCTGCCGGATCAACATTCCATGCTTGAACTGCGGCGGTATGAGCGGCTTCCTGCTGCATGAGGACAGATACGGCATCTTTCCGAGCTTTATTATGGTTGGCAGCTGCTTCAGCGTCCTGCCGGCCCCGTTGCTCCGCATCTCGTGCAATGGCGTTGAGGCGTGACATTTCGGTTGCCGCCTCGCATTGCATGTAGGTGCCCAGGCGGCCCAGGAAGGCCATCATAGTCTCTCCTTGCTGCCAGACTGCCGCAGCGTCGAGGGCTCCCGCAGGTGTCGCAGTGGAACCCACCTGCTGGACCTGTGGGACCAGGGGGTTCGAGCTGCACACCTCGCTCGGACTGCCGGATGCAGCATTTTCCACCGTTCGGTTGCCCTGGGCGTCCATTGCAGAGGGGTGGGGCAGGGGTCGCTGCTGTTCCGCTGCGGCTGCCCGCCCTTCACGTGCTGTGATGCGTTTGCTGCGTCGGAGCATAAGCTGCAGTTAGCTGTACGCTGTCGGCTGAAGAGGTACTGCTGACGTGGCCCTGCTGCTGACGTGGCACTGCTGCTGTCATGGCACTGCTGATGTGGCACTGCTGCTGACGTGGCACTGCTGCTGTCATGGCACTGCTGCTGCCGTGGCACTGATGACTTGGCACTTACCAAAACGGGAATGCAGGCAAAAGGGTTGGGTGGGAGGGAAACGGAGGAAGGTAATCAACCAAACTGTACTTTCCTCCTGGTCCTAATCAACAGAATAAAAATAAAAAATAAAAGAAGAGGATCACTGGGATTCACCCCCCCTTTTTTTTTTTGTGTGTGTGTATATCTGTCGATCTGCTATCAGTGAGGCATTTGACGCAGGAGTGCTAAGAGGAAGATCTAGGCAAGGCTTCGCAAAATTTCGTCTTTCAAAAAAAAAATTGTGCGAACATAGGATAGAGATTCGATTTTCAGGAAAGAATAAATCCAGTTTCCGAGAATATGACAACCTCCTATTATGCCTAGCGAACGAAATGCTGATAGGCTTCGCAAGATTTCGGCTTTCAGGAACCAAATTTTTGCGAAATAGAATGGAGGTTCGATTTTCAGAAAAGAATAAATCCAGTTTCCGAGAATGTATGCCCAGAAAAACGAGATGCTAACATCAGAAATTTTCGGCTATAAATGCTCATATCTGACATATCATAAATTTTCGGATGCTAATATCAGAGAAACGAAATGCTACTATCAGAAATTTTCAGATATTTGTTGCGTGAAAACGAAATCAAAAGTTTAACATTGTTTAATCAATTATCAATTTATCATCCAATTTACATAAATGGAACTTCTTTAATAACAAAATATTGTTATTTTTGAAAAATATTATTGCTAGAATCATGGTAACCGCCCGGAAGTCCGGACCGGGTTCCAGACAGTCCGGTGTCTGGTGTCTGGTGTCCGGTGTCCAGTCCCCATGTCTGGATGGAGGCCCCTGGGGCAAAAAAAAAAAAAAAAAATGGAGCGGCCCAGGACGTTTGTCGGGTCCTAGCCGCCCCTCGAAAAATAACGGGGTGATTTTTAAGTGTCCTTTCACCCCACCAGACATGGCCTAAAGGTCCAGACACAAGACACTGCAGGTTTTTGAGGTGGCGGGTTTCACACAGGCCCGAGCAATTTCAAAGCGGTCTTTTCGAGGTGGCGCCCGCTGCTCCTGCCCATTGGGGGGGGGGGGGGGGGGAGGGGGGGGCAGGAAGTGGCCTCTCTGTTCCCAAAGCTGGGGGGCGCGCGGCCCCACCAAGATCATGACTACGCAGTCGCGTGGGGAGAGAGAGAGAGAGAGAGAGAGAGAGAGAGAGAGAGAGAGAGCACTGACAGTGCTGCCAGTCTTAGACTCCGAGGCTCTGAATTGAGCTGCA